TTTTAAAATATTGAGTACATAACTTTTATATAAAATATTCAAAAAACACATCGACGTTTGCAGAAACCTAGCCATTTTTTTAAAAAATGATTCCAAGACTACATTTTGGAACATGAAAGCCGAAAACTGACTGATGTATCGTTTATTAAAATTAATTGAACCAAAAATTCTGAATTAAGCACAATAAAAAATATTTTCAGTAAGTATAAAAATGCTTAAATGCGCAATTGTGCGTAAATTCAGCGACGAACTGTAATCTAAACTTGATCTATTTCTCATCACGTGTAATTTTTATGACGACAGAAATTACTAGAACTTATTACTTATTAATGTCCAACGTTTTACTAAATTATTTATTCTAATAAATAATAATTGATAAATCATTATAGCAATCGTGCACAACACTATAAACTATGTTTATATATTAGTATAAAGTTTTATTTGAAATGTACAGTAGATTATTGTAAAAATTATTTTTTTATATTACATTTTGGCAAAATATGTATATTATAAGTATTTAATCATATTGAGCATTTTTGTCGAGAGATAAAACAAAAAAATATATATTTTTATTTTGTCTCTAAATATTATTATTATCCTGAGCTGACGTCGGTATTGAATAGAAATAAGAACATTAAAGTAAAATATAAGTTAACAAAAACAGTGTAATTAATATCAAACAATCATTTAAAAAAAAACTTATCACTTTATAGTTTCATTATAAATTTATCTCGAAAGCAAAACAAACGTGTATCAAATATGATGATACACTGACGAAAGTTTTCGCATTAAATATTAATATGTTTGAGAGTTATCTACGCAACAGGCAAATTTCCTATAAATTGGAACTCTAAAATGCACGCTGTGCAGTATCATATTTAAAGGAATTATTGTTGTGAAAATCTAACTTTTTGTTCAGTTATTCATAGACAGAAACTGGAGCATTTTAATTCTAATAACTTCTTATTTTATATCGTTTTCTATTTTTGGAAATAATTTAGTACAATGTTCCAACTTTGCTTATTAATTATGGTTTCAATCAAAATGTATATTGATACTAAGTATTCAATCATTTAAACTAAATAGTATATACTAACAATAAGAATTATTCTTAACAACGTTTTGAATTTTCAGAATTGAATTATAACAGAACCACTAAATATATCAAAACATCTAATGCAGTTTAACCTAAATATTAGGAATATTCTTTAAATAATTTACTAAATCTGTATTGTTTTTTTTTCAATATTTTTGTCACTATTGGTCAAAAAACGATTTTTGTAATAGAATATATATATATATAATAATAACGTATGCATTATTTAAGCTTTTTAGACAAACATTTTCATTCCCTAAATTAATGAATTTGAATATATTATTCAAATAATATAGGAGTTAATGGAGTAGAATCATGGCAATCAAATAGGCTTCACTTTAACAAAGTATTTTCAATATTTGCAAACTGTAATTTTTTTATTTGGAAAATATCAACCATGAACGGTAAAGTTTTAAAAATAATTTTTATCATCACTAATATTTTCTACAAGAAAAATATGTTTTAGGACAAAAAAACCTACATAATAACAAAATTTCTGATATCTTCATTTTTGAAAATGTTTCAAAAATATACAGTCATAAAATAAAGACAACAAATATTATGACAAAATAAAAATTATTATCTTAAAGATGTACCCTTAAGTAATTTATATTCAAAACCCGTATATAGGCGATTGTATAACATCACATACCAAACTGTTATTACAACACTAAATTGATTCATAAAACAGGTATAATGGCCTAATAGACTTAAGAATTATGGCAATAATGCTTGAACAATGGAAGAAAAAAAACTTTCACGTTTCAATGTTCCTTAATGGCGCAATCGAAACTGAAACGGCCATAGAATTTCGTTTACGATGTCTGGAATCATCGGATTAACTCCCGATCCGTTCTTAGGTCGATAGCATTAAAAAGCAATTCTTTTTTATAAAATAAAATTCGTATTGACAAACCGAATCCCCCTCGAAAGGGCTTCTTAGCAGAGGCAACTTGCAAGATAAATTACATATTACGAAAACTTGATATATTGCGAACGGTGGACTTCTGACAAAAAGATTCATCTATATTTTATATTATGACGTTTATGCTAGCGACATGAGGACTGCGCGTCTGTGGAATATAGACCAGGGCTTTGGGAAAAAAGCTCTAAAACGAAAATACACACAGGGATTCTTAAATCTATGTCAAATTGTAATGAATGATAATTATGCATATTCTTTATTTTAACTTAGAAAGGCTGAAACATTAATTTTTCATTAATAAAAAAAATTTGGAACTTTATATAAAAAATATTATCGAAATGTTATGAGAAGGTCATTAATTATATTGAAGAATAGACAAAATTCATTTATCTATATAATCTATTTTTTTCGTAGCTAAGAGATCGATGCGATCACAATTTCATTCGTATTATACGAGTAGTACGTATATGATTTAGATTTTCAATGAAAAACATTTTTATCAGGATAAAAAATTCCATTGAATAGACAAATTTTAATACAATGGCAATACATAAATATTTGTTAATGAATGAAAAATAATTATTGTATTTTTTTAATGAACACCAATACAAAATATTCTCCAACTTTTAACGCTAAAAGACGATTATTTAATGGTAATAAATAGATAAATTTTATTAGAATGGTAATGCAAAAATAATTGTAATTATTAAAAATAATTATTGCATTTATGAAAATGTAACAACATGAATTAATCCTCATCCTATAATCGAAAAATTTCAATTATTTTATAATTAAAACATTGTTTATATTTGTGGGGATAGGGATTATTTATTATGTATCTAACACACATTATAACAATGATAGACTTTCGAGAAATGTTAAAAATAAGTACAAGCTACAAATTTCATTAACCAAAAATACAAAACAGAAAATTAATTTCACTTTTTTATACACTAACAAATAATTTTTAAATAATAATTAATAATATGTTAAAAATAATTTAGCACAGAGAAGTGTAAATAGAACCACGATGTTTATCAATATATGTCCTGGTTAGGACAAAAAATGACATTAAAAAATGGGCCACTTTGGCCAATGTTCAATAATATTTCGGCCAAATGGTGAGCTAGGGAGTTGAAAATTGGTATATTCAAATTTATGTATAAAATAAAGCAAAATCAATAAAATAGCAGGGTTAGGCCATTTGTTTATGAATGCACGTCCATACCCTTTCGATTTTCTGGAGAAAGTAAGTTTTGACAAAATGATAAATTTTACTCAGGTGCGTTAGATGCATGTGAGAATTGGATTTTTTTGTGGTTTCTAGATAGTACTCGTTTTTAGTAATAACGAGAAAAAATATTCCATACCATGTGCAAATTTCGTTCGAGCCCAGGTTCCCGAGTACTTGGCTAACAAGCGAAAGAGGGTAGGCGAAATGTGTGTGCGAAAAAAATGACAAAATAACCGAGTCGAAATAAAAATTCTGGCATGATATATGAAGTGGCGTGTTTATTCTACCGGCGTGTGCAGTTAATTTCGTTACGAACGCGTGTATCAGGGTAATGTTAACGTCGAGACCTAGTCAAATATATTTTATGCAAAATTATACATAAAATAACGCGAATAATGAATCATATGCGGCGTAATCGTGGGCTGGCTGCGTCATTGAATTATCTTTGAATTTATGAGTGCAATATTTTAAATATGAATGTGTAACTACTGAATTTTGCTAATATTAACAATTCATAAAATACAGTATTTTGAATTAAGCCAATTTACACACTAGTGATTATTCATTATTATCAAATACATTCGATTATAATTTATATTGGTAACGGTTATAATTTTATCTGTGCTATTTGTTTTCATGTATGCATTTAGTTAGCTAGTGAATATAAATTTAATTTCATATATTTTTATTACTAAAGAAGAGTTATTCTAAATGAAACAACGTATTGCACACTGTATACAAGAATTATTACTCATCTTGAAAGAAATTGATGAAGAAATATAATAATATCTACACGACACAATATAACATACTAAATTAAGATTTTTGTAGAGTTCAAATACCTAAATATCCAGTTTTTATATGCGTGAAACATATTTGGAAAATAGTATCTAAAAATAAGCAGTATTACAAGTACTAAATAAAATAGTATCTAAGCACATAATATGTACTTCAAAAAATATGCTGATACGAGTGCAAATAAATGATAGTTCATTAACATTGTTAACAAAAAACAGTAATCTCTATCATACTATTTCAATAGAATATTATACATTATTAAGGGCAAATTATCCGATAATATGGACTCTATATTTCATAGCATTTTTGCGCAAACGCTACGTTACCGTCCTTTTTCTTTCATATAAGTTGGTAATAAAAACTGTCAAAATGTTATGTATTTGCTGTGCAATCAGGCATCTTATACATAAAGCCAAATCTAGAAAACGCCGAAACGTCAAATTTTTTTTTATTATAACTGCATCCTTCTGCATATGCCATAATAACACATACGTGAAGTCAGGTTTTATGTGTTAAACGCCTGATCGCACATAGCGCTTTGACAGTTTTTACTACCAATTCATAAAAAGAAAGGACCGTAACATAGCGTTGTTATAGAATCACGGACTTCAAATTATTTTAAAAATTTCGAAATTGTCTTCTACACTGTTTTTTAGAAAAAATCCGCTAAAACTTACAGACAATTACGAAACTACAATTCCACACCAAATTGCGCTCACCAAAACCCTTAGCTTATATTACACCACTAACTTGACATATCATAACGACATCCATCTGCTCCTGGTTTTGAATGTACCATTTGAATGAAATACTTAATCCCGCACCCCGTACATATTCGAACATATAAAATAATGTCCGAATTGAAAGACAAAGGTCAGGCACATAAAAAATTAATACTCTATGATCTCAGATATTGGGTATTACGAGAGATTAATATATCTTCTTACCGTGACACGTGTATTTCCCAAGGCACAGCGCTGCGCAGAGCGTGATCAGCGCCCTGCAGCGGCGCGCAAGCGGCGTCGGGTGCACAGCGCCGGACATCTCAATGGACGAGCATCACACTACTGTAATAAAAAGAAACAACAAATTATTGTAATTGTTTTTTTAACCTTTTTTAATAAATCGATACATGCACAAGTGCTGATGATAGAGTATCAATGCCATTGATGATATAAATACGGTATAAATGCTATGGAATAAACTTCTACTCATTTATGAAAGCATAAATACAAAAAACACCAAATCTCAGTAAAATATTAAAAGATATTTTGCCATTCATGATATTCGGTATTAACTCAATTTTATTTTAATTTGATTTTTTTATCTCTTGTTTTTCTTTAATAAATCTGTTTCACTTGTGATTGACACATGATTAATGAATAATAAAGGAACCTAGTAATTGCATATTGTAGGATTGTATTATATACATACTGCAGAATAAATTGATTAAAAAAAAATAATGATAAAAATAAATATAAAAAACAATACATTTTAAGTTTATACCTGTATTGTATTGATCAAAAGTTTGTTGCATCAAATAATGTAATATGATCAATATCATATTGATTTTAGTAATGAAATTTATTAAATAATGAAAGAACAACTATGCTGTCACCATCTAAATATGACGTAAAAAGAGTAGTTTGAACACAAAATTTCGCTATATGGAATTTCGGATTCCATATAAAAATATAACTAGTGGTTTCGTCAGTACAAGCAGAAAGTTAGCTCATTTAGCTCTGTATCTCCGAAAAGGATGAACCTGCCTTTGTCAAAAACTAATCAGCACATCCCCCTATCAATAAATATCAATAGTTTTTTAATTGTTCAAATCGTCCAAAATCGTCGACGAAAAATTGTCTCCGCATATACACACAGACACACATCCATTTATTCTGAGGTATGAGAAAATGTTCAGAAAACTCTGGAACGTTTACAATTTAAATTTTTGGACGATTACAATAACTTACACCACGTGAAGTTAAAAGAAATCTGTAATGTGTACATATCCCGGAATACATTGAAACTGGTTGAAAAAGTAGTTTTCTGTAATCTTTTAAAAAGTTTCGAATATACCATACCAATTTATTACTTATAGGGTGGGGCAAGTCACAAAAGTCATAACATGTATCAAACAAACAACGGTCGTACTATGTTCAGTAAAATTCTCAATTAATGCTCAATTACAATTCATCTGTTCCTTTTCACCCTATAGGCGGAGTAAAATAAGACAGTTAGGGGGCAAACAGATCCCATATCATAATTTAAATTTTAAAGTAAATGTAAAATATAAATATTATGGTTACAGTTTTGACCATGGGTTATAGATTGATTTTAGGCAATGGTTAATTACACATCTGTTTTATTCTATTTTCAAATATTGTTATTAAAAAATTCTTAACTTCACTTTTATTTGAGATATTGGTGGTGGATCCCACGGACCATTAAGCCCCACTCTCTACCTTATATCATAATATATTTAAACAAAATATAAAATTTTTCATTTTATAAATTTTACATACAACAACGTAGTACTTTTGCATTATTATTGTAATAATCCACACGCCGTTATGTATCCTTTTCCAATTCATCAAAGCTCGAAATACAATTTCACACTCCAGTCATAAACATATCAAAATTTTCATTGTGATCCATCTTTATCATTACATTCTCACCATGTATTACGGAAACACATTTCATCAGCATCATCCCGTCCTATGTACACGATTCTCATCTTTTGAGTGACAGTTATGAGCAGAATTACGAATGCCTATTAAAACAATTCCACGAGTTCGTTTCGACCTCCACGGTTTTCGCATACCAGGACGAAGTGCAAGGTATAATAAATGATACCCAGCAAATTATACAGTGCTATTATCATATTACAGTATGGTAGTTAAATCTAAAGTATCGTCTACATAAGACGGATTAATTTTAAGAAAAATTATTATTCGAAAGAAAGCAACAACATTGCTGAGTCCAATTAACGTATAAAAAAATCTACTAGTTGTGAGGCGTAATTTTTCCTTAAAGCAATTTGTATAAACTTCCAGATACGTGTGTGGCCGTAAACAGTAATCAGTAGCAATCGATGAAATACAGAACTCACATATGCTTCGGCATAGATTCTGATAAGATTCGTTTCTGCACCAGGCAAAATTCTAAACTTCGATCAATTTTTATAATTCAACCGCTTATCGTAGGTCTATATTATTTTAGTACTTTATTTCAGACCAAATAAACTATTGTTATACAAAGTTCCATCAGAATCATTAAAAAAAATCAATATTTATTAGGAAAAAATAGCCATTTTTACCAAAAACTAATCAATACGATTCGCAACCACTATCTTTGTTTGAAACAGTTAAAAGTTGCACTTTTCCTTTCAATTACAAAGGTAAGATTAGAACTCTTTGAGATATCCTATGAAAAAACGTCGACAAAAGGTCAATAATCAACCTACTTACACACACATGGACACACATATACACATACACGCACATAGTTTTACCAAATTTGGTCCCATTAGATTCAGAATGACTTGAAACGAAAATTGTAATGATTATTACAATTAACATCAAACCATTTTATTGTCAATAATTATGTGAAATATATAAAATAAATTATGCAAACTAGATCAAATAATTAAACGTAATATTATTAAAAAGAGTAAAATTATTATTACTTATCTGTTATATTTATGTAAAAATGTTATTCTTATCAGAAATTATTTTTAAAATTTGAATATACTTGAATAATATTTGTTTTAAAATATAACAATTATACAGACCTGATATAAAAACTTTGATAGTTTAATGTTGAAATATTTAATTAAAAGTTAACTACTATAAATTCAATTTAAGTAAAAAATTATGTGCAATATATCATATTTAATACTTAATTGGGCATTAAGTAAGTTTGTTAGTATAATAACATAATCAAACTAATTATTGCAGTAATATAATACAAAGCATTATCAACAATTATACATCTATAACACAAACTAATTATCAAACTGATCGTATCTAGTTAATAAAGTTGTTTATTCTGATTACTATAAACATGATCTATGTTAATATAGAGCTATCGTTTTAACATAATAATTTCAGTTAACAAAAAAACTAGTTTTAATGGCAGTTGCGATCGATTGTTATTATTACTAAAAATCAATTTTATTCATATTATGATGGCACCACTATGATGTGGTAAAATAAAAAAATCAAAATTAAGGCGTTAATATCTACAATATATGGAATTAAGAAATGACGATGCAATGATACGATATCAAATTATATATATTTATTATACAATAGTAAAGGATCCGTAATCTAACGTTTTTTGAATGAAGTTGTTTTTTGTTATTAATAAAAATTAATTTAATAATTGCCATTTGAGAAAAAGTATTATTCATTATTACCCGGAGGATCGTACTATCAAATAAAAAAATTCAATTTGCAGTAGTTTTTTTATAACATTATCAAAAAAAAGTTATATAGTGAACCCTTTATATCAATTTAAGGTGTTTGGTTATTTAAGAACCTGATTTTTTTAATATTACCATATGACTTCAATTTTTGCTATAGATTGATTCATATAACATTTGATCAGAAAACTAATAATATGAAAGATCGACATCACTATTTTCAGTTTTCATCAATCAATTAACAAGTTTTCGCTTCGATAATTACTAATTCAGAAAAATCCGAAGTGTAGACGAAACCAGCCTAGTCAAGCAAATCCTGCCGAGGGTCTGCAATGACAGTCTATGTACTTGTCCGGTGATAAATAAAGCTCAACTTGGCCGTAAACGTAAGCTCATGGGCGTGATTCTTGTAGATGAAGAGGACACGGTGAACGTTTTGGACCATTCGGAGCGACTGGACCGTGATCAAAACTTTTACCGAATTAATGTCGTTATAGTAAACTGGAGTTTCTGCGAGTTTCTTTATAGGTAACAAAATAAATAGGAGAAAAATATCGGAAATTTATTATGCACGGGTTTTGCAATTAGGTATAGGTAATGAGCAACATGTTTTAAGGGCTTGTCCAAATTATCTGAAAGACTTACGTATAGTAAAAAATTCTAAGTGCTCAAAGTATTTTATGCTTAAAGTCGCTTAATAAGGTGCTTAAAGTTAAAGAGTCGGATACAATAGAAGAATTCAGCAAAAATATATTGTTCGTTTGACCTTAAGAGAACTTGAGGTATTTCTCTTCCTTAAGAGTCATGAGGCATAGAGAAACAAGTATAATGGCATGAGGTAATTTTAAATCCATATACATTATATTTAATTCACACCTTAAATTGTCATAGTTATACTAACAAAAGAATGAATACTGATCAAACTTTATTTAAATTATAAATATTTAAAAACTCTTGTTTATTATAAATTATTATCTATCAAAAACATTAGTTGTTAGTAACTAAAATCAAGATAAATGAATGTTTTTTAAGTTTTTTAAAATTAAATTTAAATAAATTTTGAATTATTTTAAAAAGTTTGAATTGTAGAGCTTTTATTTATATAAAACTATCGGTGTCGATATTAGGTTAAATAAACGTTTTATTACCACAAATATATGAAATAAATAACCATAAGAGACGTATAATTTAATTTTCAACAATGGCATAAATAATTAAACCGTATACAATTTGATTAAATACAGATTTTTTCTTTGTTTAATTATTACATTATCATTGCATAAGCTTACATAAGCATTATCAAGTACTTTTATTTATATTTTGTAAATTTAATTTAATATTGCCTATTATAGGATAGGTACGTTTTTTTTTATTATAAAGAAACAATTTCAAATGCCGCTTTTGTATAGGAGAGCTTTATATAGATAAAACTATAGACTTTAAGCGAATACACATAACAGATAACAGTGCCGTTGCAAAAAACATTTAAAGTCTGTTTCCATAATAGGGCCATTATTTTCCCACAACATTCATCTGGATTTGTATGGACGCTTGTATTATATGTTGTGTATTATAAAGGCGTATAAGTTGCAACATGATCCTCTGCTAGTAGTAGATACGAACATATAGTA